CCTCATCTCCGCCCGACTTCGGGGGCTGCCGGGGGGGTTCGGGCCTCATTAAGCGTGACTGACTGGAGGGCGGAGGAGGGAGCCTGACCCCGCTGCTCTCGGGCCCCTTGGAGGCCAGCGGGGGCCAGGGCCAGATCTCTGACCCGGACTGACTGCGAGCTGCGTCGCGGGTGCTGATCCTCGCCCCTCCGCCTGGCTAGCGAGGCATCCAGGTACCCCTCACGAGCCTTTTTTTGTCGCTTCTTCCAGGGACCGAGACGGAGAAAAGCACCGTGGTGGAAGGCGGCGAAGTGCGCTTTAACGGCAAAGGGAAAAAAATCCGGAAGCCCCGGACGATTTACTCCAGTTTGCAGTTGCAGGCTTTGAACCGGCGCTTCCAACAGACCCAGTACCTGGCTTTGCCGGAAAGAGCCGAGTTAGCCGCCTCCTTGGGCCTCACCCAGACTCAGGTAGGCAGAGCGGTGCCGTCTCCCCTCCCCATCCCGGTCCTGGGACGCCCTCCCGTCCCCCAGGCTTGGCGCCTGGCCTGGCCTTTCCCGATCTGGGCTTCCTTCGGCGAGGAAGCGGCGGAGAGGTTCGGGGCCGGAGAAGCTGAACAAAAGCTCCCCCGAAGGACTCCCTCCTCTCTATCGCATCCCGCTGCCTGGGCCAATCTGTCGCCCCAAATCTGGGATAGCGCCCTAAAAATACATTAAAATATGTTATTTGCTTTACGGCGCCTTTCTTTTCTTGTTCTTGAGCCGTTCAGTTCTGAAGCCTTGGTCGAGCTTACCTCTCCTCTTTCCAAGGTGCCTTTTGCTCTCTAAAATGGGACTCTACTTCCCCCAAATAGGGCCCTGAGGAGCCAGCGGTTTTATGGCTCGGGTTTCTCAGGGTCCAGAGATTCCCTTTCAGGTCTCGGAGGAAGCCAGGCCAGAAATCATCAAAACAATCCGGCTCCCTTTCCGGGTGTCCGTTCCAGAGGAACTCTCGCTTAACCTAACCCTCGCCCCTACCCTACCATTCTTGTCTCCCCCTCCCCTTTCTGGGTCGAAACATCAAACCCCGAAAAGAACCCCCCCTGGGCTTTTTATTGAGGCGGCGTCCTCCTTCGGCCTGGGCCCTTCTCCGATTAGGAGCTGGGCGCGCTTAGAGTCCGCTGCCTCTGGCACAGTTAGTGGCTATCCTGTCCCCGCATCCCAAGGTCTTAATAATCGCAGCACCCTGATTCTTAGTCATGTGTGGATGGGGGAAATTAAGTTGTTGCCCTTCCTTGGTCCATGGGCAGAACCAGGCAAGAGGAAAAGATTAAAAACGACCCGGGCTAGTCTGGGAACAGCAGCTGACTCTCTCCCCCATTAAAATAGGAAGCAGAAGTCGGAGTGCGCCTCCGTTCCCAGCCATGCGCCTCCAGCTCCATCGACCTTTCTGGGCCGGGGTCGCAGCCGAGCGCTGCCTGGCGCCTTGGGGCCGAG